AGGGGTGTTCAAGGCCAGGTTGGATGGGGCACTGGGCAGCCTGGTCTAGTATAAAATGTGCAGGTTAGAGGGCCTGCACATGGCAGGGGGGTTGGAGATTCATTATCCTTGAGGTCCCTTCCAACCCTGGCCATTCTATGATTCTGTGTGATAGAGTTTATGCTTCTGCCTTGTCTTTATTAGGGCTCTCACAGGAATATGGCAGATCTAGAATTTCACTAACAAATTTCACTGGAAGTGACTAGTGGATGCCTAAATTGAAAGTATAAAGACGTTTCTTTTCCATCAGAAATTTTTCAGGAAACATAAAAGATTTTCTTGAGAGCTCATTAACAACTGAAACATGGTTATGATACAGGAAAACAACAAGATTTCTTACACTTTCTTTATTAATTGCCACTGGATATCATGCCTGAATCCAAACTATGAAAAAAATAAATATGTAAATATCCTACAAATATTTATGAAATGTCAAGATACTGTATGCTGGTTTTAAATGCTTCCACAGGTTGTACAAAACCTGTGAGCAATGCATCCATCTGTAGATATGAACTAGCCATTGTGAGAGGTCACTATTTGTACCTGCCAGAAAAGTAACACAAGAAAAAAGAGCACAGTAATATATACAAAATTTTAGGAATTTAATCCTCTCTGTTCAATTAAAGCTACACAGCATTTACTTACATTTAACAGTGAGCTACCCTTGATTTCCAAGAGTTTCTTGGAAGGTAGATGGCAAGCAGGAGGGTCAGTATTATAAGAGTAAATCTGTGGCCACTACTGAGTAACTACAGCTATCAAAAAGGAGAACTTCCTTTTTGATGATGAGAACTTCCAAATCTTTAATTAGTTCTGTAAAGGCTCTAGCCTTTGCCTTCTGTGGTCATACTTCTTTAAATTCAAATGATAAATTCTACACTTAGGAAAAACTACACATGCCTTTCCTATATAATACCTGAATATAATCTAAACTGATTAAAGACAGTCTGATATCGATTGCCAAGAATCATTATTAAAAATTATTACACATTGTCAAAAATAAGTTTAATAAATGTAAGACTAAAATGCAACAAATGTAATATCAAAATAAAGCATGTTTGAGCAGGAAGATTGTTAACAGCTCCTTTGGAGTCTTCAGAATCAGTAACATGGAGAACTTGAACCACTTGTCTCCAGAACTGTATATTCTCAAGTAATTTTAGTTTTTTTTATTATTATTATTATTTTATTTTTTTATTTTTTTTTAGGAAATTCTGTAGAAGGTAGCTAATGAAGTACTAGTTTCAAGTGCAAAAAGTTGCTCCAGTTCCAAATGCCCCTAGATGAACGCTTTTCTGCCTTACTCCCAAACTCACTGATCACTGCTCAGAATTTATTAAGCAATGGCGGATGAGACATTTGAGAAATATTAAAAGCAATCAAATCCTGTCAAATCCTGTTTTTCTGTTATTTTGGAAAGAACAAATCTATTATCACATTTTCCATTTCCTGTTTTATTCAAGACAAAAGGTACTTGTGAGCTAGGGTGTAAAGGCAAATATACCAACCACACACATGCACAAAAAAAAGAGGTTCAGTAGACTAAGAAGATTTCATAAGTTTCAGTAATTCATCTTGTGATAACATGCACAAAGACAGCCTCATTAAAATACCTCCAATGAGGCCAATTGCCAAATATTGTTCTATCACAGGAGTGTAACCAATTCTTCCTGCCAATCAGAACAAACATAAACCTTCTGCTAGAAGGTTTTTTTTCTTTCTTTCCTGTATGAACTTCATATCTTACATTAAAGTGGCCTTAAACTTTCACTGCATGGAAGAAGGATGGCAGGTGGTTTGAAGTACTGTAACTAGTAGTAATGTCATTATCTATAAACCTCAAACTATTTTAGCACATGGCCATGCTGGTCTGAATTCTCCTAATTTTGAAATGGTCATGTCTGACTCTGAAAATGGAATGGGTGCATCATTCGGTTGCTTCATTGTTCTAGAAGTGTGGCAATAACATGCATCATAATATGTATTAGGGAGGCGCGCTGTGAAACACGGCATGCTACAATAGTTTCAAATAGCAGCAGGAATTATTAAAAAGGACAAAGGACATTCTATCACATCAGCACTGCAAATAAGATACAGCTAATACTGGATTCAGAAGCAGACTAATTTTTTGAATTATTATTATTATGGTGACAACAAAAACTCCATACATTTTTATTTTTATTTTTTTTTAAAGGCACACAGGCACAACTGCTATCAAGTGCTTTTCAAGTTAACTTTCGGGCAGTGTTACCCTAAAGTTTTGAGCCATATAGTTACAGTTCCCAAACAATCCATAAATGTTTACAGCTAAATGATGAAAATATTTAGCATTAAGAGCCTAAAATTACATATTTGTAGGGTTCCTAGAGTTCTGTAAAACTAACCAAATCCAAAAAGGTTCTGAAAATGATTCACACAAACACTATCTGAAGAACACTCTAGGGTTTTTTCTTTAGTTGTTAAGTTCTGCACTGTATGTAAGTTCAAGCTATCTATTTCAGATTTGGTCCCTGCTTTGATTCTCGGTGTATTGGATTCAAATTAAAACATTAAAAAAGAACAGGAACATGAAAGTTTTGAAGGTAAGCTTTAGCAAGTTCATGCTTGTTCTGAAAGCATAAGGAAAATTAGCTTGGTTTTCTAGTTATACCAGAAGAGGCCAGTAACCTTACTGTAATTGCACTTGTGATACAAGCTGATACCAGCTCTTACTTTTTTGTTTCCTTATTGTTCTGCTCCTCATCTTATGTTTTTATCTCATCTTTGTTTTCCTTTTCTTCAGTCCTTTCTCCATCCTTTTTTCATTACAAATTTGTTCACTTTCGTTTTTGCTCACAAAGTACTTAATCTGTTGTGCAGCACTGTTTCTGCTACAAGCCAATATGTACCCCGACAAAGTTAAAAAATACTAGTGGAACATAAAAACTGACTGGGTACCACCTACGTTGGCTGGTAAGTCTGTACTGAAAGATAAGTTGTAACCAAAGTCTCAATTTTAGTATTGCAAAAAAGCTCTGCCAGCGCCAAGAAAATCGCGCTCCTTTTTCTCTTCTCTGTTTCCACTGGAAAAGCTATCATTGCAATGAACAAAATCCTAGAGAATATAAAAATTCCCACTCCTACTCAATAATTTCATTATCAAATGTAAGGTCACTGATGTGCCCTTTTGTTCCCAGGAGGTTGACCAACCTGCAGATGCAGTTCTGTGACGGTGCATTGAATCTCAAAGAATTATTAATACTTACACATACTGGAAGAAAATGTATATTCTTACCTTTAACTTTAATTCATATTGACATTCACAGACCTTGCAACAATATTGTTTTTCGATAATTGGTATTTCGTAGTATAATACATTATTTTTTTACATTTCTAATATGATTAGTCTACATACTAGAAGTCTGTCTCTCAAATCTTCTAACAGTGGGACCTGAACAACCTTTCAAATACAGATTGAGTTTTATCAGCAAACATGGATTTTGCACTGAGAAAGCTTTTTCCTATAATAAGAAATGAAGAGGCTGTGACAGTATAAAGTACTTTTAAGACCATGTTGAAAATGTGACAGCGGACCTACTTCATCCTTTGTAATTTAAAAACTACTTCAAATTGCATGCAATCTGTAGCTTGTATTAGGGCTATTTCCATCTTCAGTGCATTTTGCTCAACAATTCACATATTGATAGTTTTGAACTATTAAGAAATCAGTGGTAACATAGAACGAACAAATAAAAATGGCAAATGTGCAAATAAACATTCACATACTTGAAAATAAACAGAAATTGAATTACTTGGTGCGAGTTCATGCAATCTCTGTTTAGATCACATCATTCTAATGTATGACAACACAGAACATCTTATTCTAAATGACATGTAATTTGGTGGCGTTTTTTAAATGCACTATAGAGCTGTTGCGTCACCCACATACAACAATGCACTTTGTGGACATTTGTCAAATACTGCAATGCCCATACTAAGGCAACACATCCCAGGAGCTGGCAGTCATGCTATCAGCAAGAATTTGGCTACAGAAACAGCAATGATTCATCATACATTCTAGAAGCACTGTCGAAACAGCAAAACAACATGCTGCTATTTTGATCCTTTAAAGGTAATGTTTTAAAAAATGATAATTAAAAATATGTTTCTAAAGTCAACATGAGCAAAAATAAACCCACAAAATTCTGTTAATGCATTTGGAAATGCATCTATTCATAAGTGATAACTATTAGAATCATTTTTTTCCTCAAGAGAACAGAAAATGGTTATTTAATACAAGTGCCAGTTGATTATTTACCTCCCTACTTTGTGATTTAAGTAGTCAGTATTATAGGACTATCATAGGAAAAAAAAAAAAAAGTCTTTCATTTACAACAGGCAAGGCACATGTTTAATGCAGTTTAGTTTAGATTGTATGCAGTTTAAGAAGTCCTCTGCAGTAATTTCTAAAATAATCACCAAGACACCCTCATGAATTCCATTATAGTGCAACTACATGATCTGTAAGACTTAGAAAACCACTTTGACTGAAGAACCAAAAGCATCATCAGAGCACCTTTTTCAACGCAGGCATCATATCTTCTACGGTCCCACTGCTCACCAACACAGATTGTTTCTCAGATAAACCTATCTGAAGATTTACAAATAACGGTGCAGGTCCCATGATAAGCTCTTGTTCTGAAGTACTACTGATACTTCTCATGAGAGTGCTCTTCTTACCTTTCTTCTGCAGAACATTGAATTTTAACACAAAAACAGAGAACTTTTGTTTCTGAAACTGCAGACTAATGATTTCTTTCTACTAATAATTTATTTCCACAGAAGTTACATAGTGAAATAATTACTATCACCTTGTCAGAGAAACCAAGAACACCTCTTTATAATTTATAAGCATCATCTTAAAATCTTTCCACTATGCTGCCCTTTGCCCATTTGCACAAACACACAACATGAACCCTTACCTTCTGAAAAACAACTTCATCCTGCTTTCTTTTCTTTTTGCTGCTTTTTCTGATCCTCTGTTTTGCCTGAATCCATTTTGTGACCTGGAGTTCAAAACCATAGTGTTTTTTTAGAAAGAGGATGTGATGAGAGTGCAGCCACTCAGCATTAATAAGAACCTATTAAAAGACTCGAGACAATTTTTTCCATTGCTTCACTGGGAAAGGAAAAGCATTTTCCTATCCTGAACGATGTGGTCTTAGGTAGTCTGCTCAGTTACTTGAACACGGCTGAAGTGAAACGCTGTTCTCCACTCTGTGAAGAGCTATTTTCCTTTCTTTGCTAAAGCAAAACTGCACCTTTCAGCGTAAGGTGCTTCGGTTGTTGTTTTTTGTTTGTTTGTTTGTTTTACTAAAGAAAAGATGTCTGGAGCCAGACCAGGCTGCCAAATGTAAAGTTATTACTCCTGCGTGCAAAAATCCTGGGGACAACCTCTGCACTCCATCCCTTACACTTTCTGTTACAAATCAGAAATTTACTTCCAGCCACCGACGTCAGCCGGTGTTGTTGTTATTACTAACAAAACAACAACACGTGTTTTTTCCCCCATACAAGAGCCTCTATGACTGGGAAGAGAGCGATGATGCTTTTGAGGCAAAAGCGGCACGGGAGGAGATCAGGCGGAAAACCGGGGAGGGGACCCACGAAGAGCGAAGCGGGGCGAAGCGGGGCGAAGCGAGGCGAAGCGGGGCGAAGCGAGGCGAAGCGAGGCGAAGCGAGGCGAAGCGAGTAGCGGACGGACGGCTCTCCTCACCTCGGCGCTCACTTGCTGCACGAGCTTGCACTCCTTCCAGGTCTCGCCCTCCTCCAGCAGCGGCTGTACGGAAAGAAAGCGCACGGTGAGCCGTGCCGTGCCGTGCCGTGCCGTGCCGATCCGCCTCCCCAAGGAACGCCGCCACCCCTAGCCCAGCCGTCCCGCTGCCTTCGGGAGGAAATAGAACACCTCCGCGGGGTCCCCCGCTCCGGTCCCGGAACCCCGCGCAGAGGAGGAGCCTGCCTTAAAGACGTAGGGACCGGCAGGCTCCGGGGTGACCCCATCGGGAGTTTCGCGCCTCCCCCGGCCGGCCTGGAGAGTCGCCGTCGGCGTCCCGCGCTCCCTCCGAGCCGGAGCACCGGGACGGCTCTCCCTCGTCCCGAGCCCCATGGCGCACAGCTCCTGTAAAGCCCTCCGCAGCAAAAAGACGCTGTCCTCGCAAAACCACCGCGTTCCCGGTGACGGGCGAGCAAGCTGGGTCAGGAATGTGGCACCGTTAATGCCTGACAGCTTCCCCCGTTGCTTTCCTGACGCCGAAGAACGCAGCTGGTAACTGCGCTGCTTTCTGAAGGGCAGCTCAGTACGAGCAGCTCAGCGGGTTTTGTTCCTATCACGGCACGGTAAATGTAGCACTGAGGCCTCAGAAAAAAAAACTTGATACACGAGAGCATGAGCAGGTGATTAAATTTAGGCATGGGCCTTCAGCAGATGTTTCTGTGCTCTTTGAGCAGCACGTTCTATCTTAAGTGTGATGGGAGATACATAACTTAGGTCAGCCATGGAAAATCTCAGAAATCATCAAGTTGAGTTATTTTTAATGTTTGCTGTTCAGCATTAAAAACAAGACAGACTGAGTCATGCCTAGTATGACTAAGTTATTCTTAGCATTTTAGAACTAATTTATGCTCTGTGCTATAAATGACCATTCTCTGAAAGCTTCTAAAGAAAAGCTGTGCTCCTGTGAAAAAAGAGAGCTTATAAAAACATGCGCACGAGCAAACTCTCCTGCGTATAGAATTAGATGGACTCTGCAAACAGAGTTAAGTAAATAAAGGCAGGCCCAATTACTGCCTGCTAAATCTTGACACCATCCCTTTAACTTTGTAACAAGGGGGGAAAAAAAGTCTCTCCTAGTCTTTTTGTTTTACTGCCACAACATCCTTCTTTCAAGATCAAAAGCTACAGATCAAAGCCAAGATCAAACTCACTGCTTTAAATAGAAGCAACTTCACCATGAACTATTATACAAAGAAGAACTTTTAAATAGAGCAATCACAATAGAAAATCTTAATAAAGATTTTTATTTTTTGCTCTCAACTGGTCCCCTTAAAGCCAGTGCCATCAACATATTTTTATTTTGTAAAACAGTGTAAAGCATTTTCTTCTAAATGGTAGCTCTGAAAAGCTGTTACAAATTTTCTCTCAATCTGAGTGTTTGAATGGCAGAAGAATGACTGAACACAGTTCGAAGAAAATGAACAAGAATATGAAGAAAAAAATGTTAGTAGCAAACAGAAATAAATGCATCCACGTAAAAGAAGAGAAAAACAAACAAACAACAACAAAACCCGCCAACATTCCTTGAATCATTTAATAGATTAGATTGCACATTCCCACAGAAGTTCTTACAGGAAGGATGGGGTCATAGAAACAATGAGATATATTTTCCCAAAATACTTTAAATAATTACACTTCCTCTCCTGTCAAGCGTTTGGAGGAGAAAACTAAGGAAGAAAATTGGAGAAGACACTGATTTTCAGACTAGCAGACCCTGAGGCTGACTTGGGTTGAAAACTCCTGAACAAACAAACAGAGAGTTTATTAAAGCTCAGAAGTAGCTCCCATTTTCTCAATAGTGAGTGCGCAGCAGTAAGAGAAATTCAACAGGAATTGTTACTGACCTTTTATAGAGGTAATATGCCCCATGGAGCAACATTTGGGGTTCTCCTGTGCTGGCTGCCATACACATAAAAACTTGAACACTTGTCTACTGTAAGATAATTAGATAACTGCAATGCTACGGAAGACAACTGCTAATGTGCCTATGTGAACAGACTGCAGAGTTAAAGAAAGCAGTGAGAGGAGCAGGGTGAGCCTAATGAGCCTGTGGCCACACAGTGCAGTGCCTGTGCTGTCAGCTGCTAACTATACTTGTTGATGCCTCAGTAATTACTGATTTAGCTCATGATCAGACTAGGAGAATTTGCTTGGGGAGAGGGAGAATGGAAAGAGATGAAAGGAGGGGGACGGAAGACAGGGAAAACAGACGGGATAGAATAAAGATGATTTTAGGAATATTGGTTTCCTACTGTGTTCTTTCATATCCCAAAAGGAAAGAGCTAACATTAGAAAAAAGGGTGATGGAACACCTGATTTTACAGGGAGAGTCACTGCTTCATCCTTCACTAACAGTTCTCTTTTCTGTCCATATGACAATGATCTGTCATTCCTGAATCCCTGCACAACTGAAATTAAGAGATTAGTTCAATCTGTATGTCCTTTTGTTGCGCAGGCTTTCTTTTGGAGACTGTGAATGAAGCTGTCTTTTGTAATACTCAGATTGGGAAGCATTTATACATCTCAAAGCATGCAAATGATCATTCTTGAAGCAGCAGGATTTTGAACTATGGAGGAGGAGGTAGCACTTTCTACCAAATAGATGAATAGAGGATCAATATCTTAGTACATAACATAGGCAATGATTTACACATCCATATCCACTATTCTTCAAGTCACACTGGATTCTAGGTACACAATGAACTTTCAGGATTGCACATAGTCTACAGAACAGTAACATATTTATGCAACATGCAACTGTTTCATTTGAAACATGAAATGATTTTACAGTGTTAAGGCTATGATGGTTACTAATAATATTTCATGAATCAATAAAACATTATAATCACGCACGTTCCCTTTGCCTAAATTGTTTATAATCCCATCTGGTCTGTGCTTATCTAATGCTAAAGTATTCAACATTGATAAATGTAGGACATCTTATCTGTGGTGGACATTGAATCAATGATGTTTTGTTGGTTTACACTCCTCATATAACTGGAAAGCAAAAGCAAAGTAATTGAAAAGGGGACAATAAGTGTATTTATTGTAAATGAATTTCAGAAGAGCTTCTGCAAAGTAGGGGAAATTAATAACTAATGCAGCCAAGTTATATTTTCCAGCACTTATTTTCTAGAATTTTGATTTTCTCTCTATTACTGAATTTTACATGACAAGTACACACCTAGATCTATGTGAAACATAAGTCTAGGGACTTCACTGTTATATCATTATATGTATATTGGTCCCAGAGGATTTAACGATCTTCACGAGCCTGCAAGTTACAATTTTGTACATTTGTCTTCCCACATATCATAAAATAATCTTAGTGGTTTTTTGTTTTTGTTTTTTTTTTTAAATGGAACTTGAATAATACCACCTACTTTTCTGGATGCTGTCATCACTTCTGTCACATCAATAAATAATATTTTAAAGAAACAACAATAAAATGCAAGGCCTATTACGTAGTTGTGTTTTCTATAATCCAAAACTATGGCAAAACCAGGAGAGAACAGTAGTTGAAATTGGTAGATTAACTTACTTGGAAACTGAGAATAAGACAGTTGGATTAAATGATCTTTAGAGGACTTTTCCAACCATAACAATTCTATGATTTAAGACGTGCAGTCCGAACAGACTGTGTGAACTGAGATCTACTTCAGTAGAAGAGACTTGCTTTACAGTCCTTTGTAAAAATGTTCAGAAAATTAAAATATAAAAAAGGATTTTGTCCAGCAACTCACAACACAATTAATAATGGTTTGAAACATCAGGGGCAACAATTTCAAAGTTTTAAAAATGCTATTGTTACCAGAATTTGGCAGAGACTGAGGAGGCAGTAGGCTTCAACTGAAAATAGTGAAGCAGCTATTGCAGCCACATGGCAACCTGTACTTCCAAGAGGCAGTATATCAATGGCCGATCAAAATTACTGAAAAAGAAATCAAGTCCAAGATACACTCGTATAAGAACAGAAAGCCATCCAACTGACTGTGTGCAGTTTTCATGAGGACAACTTTATTAAAGGAAGTGGGAAAACAAGTTGTTTTGATGCCATGTGTATTTTAGGAAAGATGGTCATTGACACTGATACCATGAATTCAAATGCTCTAAAATTCCTCCAGACATCTCTGTGGTGGTGTAAGCACCACCAGATCAGCATGATGCTTCCAACATTCTTTAATGAAAGATGCCTATAAAGATGTTATGTTAAGGTCAAACTTGCTCTTCTAAAAACATCTCTACCTCTAAGAGATAAAAACCTGCTGAAACACTCACTTTGAGGATGTACTTTCAGTACACTGCAACGTGACTTCTGAATAATGATACTGAAAATACGAACTTCAGATACCCATTAGCAACTCTGTGGTGGGGAGAGAATTCATAGTTAAAGATGAAAACCCACAACTAGCTATTTAGTCCAAGATCAAATCCATGATCTGATACAGAAAGTTTTTCTGACCTCAAAATAATATCCTTACAACTTATTTCTAAACAATAATATGTAACATATATATGATGACATACAATGTGTATATCATATAAATAATAATATCTACTGAGATCCTGGTGAGCAGTGGATAGTTTCTAGCTAGCCAAAATACATAGGAATTTGAAAGTTCTTTGTATTTATTTACTGTTGCTATTGTTGTTATTGTTTTTCCTTTTTTACCTGAAATTACAGGGGGGAAAAAAAAAAAAAAAAAAATCCCCACAAAGATAAATATGCTTGAGCATGTATTCTGGACAGTCCCAGAGCACTCGTGTAACAACTAGTGTTTTCCTTCTTCCTCTGGCATAAAGAGACAAAGAAAATGAAGCTGCCGTGTTTCTTGCTCAAAAAAACAGAATACCTCTTTCAGGGGTACTGACCTCTGAGTCTTGCTGATCTCTTGAAGCAATCAAAAACCTTCCCATCAGCTCCAGATATGAAACATATTCAAGACAAAAGCTGTTAAGCCATATGCTAAGGATAACAGCCATTAGTTGAACCATGACTTTTACTG